TCAGTGGAAATGCATTCAAAGAGACACTAAAACAAACTTGCTCTTCACAAGAACAAACTCCTGTCGCCTTGGGAAACTGCCAGTTGTGTGGCATTAGATGTAAAAGAGGACTTGAGCAACTCATCTCAGGCATCCTTTCTCGTGCTGCACATTAAAGCTGCAGATGAGTCAGTACAGCTGAGTAGGAGAACCAGACAGGTTTGAATCACCACTTTTCCCCCATCTCTGAAGCAATACTGTTTCAATGCAAATAATTTCAACCTCAGAGTAATAAAGGAAGCCCAGCAGTGGTGATCACTAACCTCATACCCCAGAAGGAATTGACTGTTTAATGAAAATTCACAGCTGTTTCATGTTTAAAGACACTGATCTATGTAAAAGGAAATGAGCTAATTAATCTTAAATCCTGGAAATCGAGAAGTATCTGAAGAGACAGCAAGCTCTGTTTCAGGGTTTCTCTGAAGCTATGTCTTATTCAGCTCTTTCCTTTCTTGGTCAGATGGATGTTGGTTTTGAGAGGTTTGGGAAACACAGCTGAGAAGTCTGACTGGATAAATGTTTAAAAACCTGAAAAAGAACAGATTCTTAAGTATGGAGAAGTAAAAAAGAAGCAGTGGGTTCCTGGTACTCCGTCCGGTGGATCTTATATCTGTCTTGAGTTGAGCAGACTCTGGAGTTGAAAGCTCTGCAATACTTGGGAAGACACATTCACATATTTGGAAAGTAAATTGAGAATGTTTATTGACTAAGTGCTATCTGTATGTGTGAGAACACCAACTTTCTGCATTTCACTTATGCTAAAAGATAATGCTTATTTAATGCTTGATTGAGTTTTTTAATACCTTTTATTTATCCTTTTACATCTAGTACTTTCAACCTAAAACTACCTTAATAATAATAAAAAACCTAAATACAAAAGCTAAAGAAAACATTTTTTTGGTAGTTAAGTAGAACAGTTTTGAACTTTTGCAAACAACTGTATGAGAATTCTGTAGAAGTGCAATTGAGCTGGGATTTCTCACAAAAAGTTGGTAATATACCTATTACAGCCATTGTACAGTGCAGTGACCTGGAGCCACAAAACTCAGCTGAAATAAGTAAAAGAAATAGAATTGTGACTGCCATATTTTATTAGTTTCCAGCAGGATTCATTACAGAACTTAGAAAAAGGATGTATGAGACTTTCATGGTTTTGGTTTTTTTTCTATGTGCAACTTTCTTCTTCTTCTAACTTACTTCTATTTCCAGAAAAAAAATCAAGAATGAAAAAATTCACTGTCTGTGTGAGAAATCTCTGGGTGTGTGTCTTCATTGAAGGAAGCTTCAGCAAGCTTTAAGAACAAAATGCTGGCACTCTTGCCAAGATTGATGTGTTCAGAAGAGTGAAGGTGGGATATACAGAGTACGAGAGGCTTTGTAGCTCATTACGCTCAACCCAGGGAGCCTTGGTCCTGCTTAGACAGAACCTTCAATATGAGGCACTTAGTTGTGGTCTTAATCTCTTCAATATGAGGCACTTAGTTGTGGTATTAATCTCTTTTGTTTTGCACAAAAAAAAGGCTTGCCCAGATTTCTGATTTCAAGTCAGAAGTAACTGGCAGCATCAGTGGTGTGGATTTGAGCAAAGATTCTGCTTTCACTCATGTTTGCAGTTGCCTACAGCATGGTGAGGACATGACCTGTATCCTGAAAGGCCAGTTGTCCTTCACTGCCTTCCCTCCCTGGGTACTCATGAGGACAGGCAAGCGTGGCAATAGGTGGCCCTATTTCACATAATTAATTGAGAAGGATTTGACCCTGCTGAATACAATCAGTCTGCAGTATGGCCCCCAATGTCCCTCCAAAAAATGAGAGGGAACACGGGGCTGCTGCAGGTGTGATAATTCAGGTTCTCACAGGCTGACTTGGCTGCTGGAGTGCTGAGGGCTAGGTGGCATCTGCATCTACCCAGTTTAAGTTCAAAGTTATGTTAACTTAAATGGATAAAAGAAATTAAAAAGTAAAACAAGGAAAAATTCTTTCTAGGGAAATAGTATGTGGGTGAGGATCCGTAGTGGTGCAGAATCCCCAGGCAGGTGCAAAGGAGAGCTGCTTTATTGCAAAAACCAGGCCTTTTTAAGCAGTCAGGCCTTTATCAGTTACATAGCTTTAAAGAATAACAAACATAATTCAACCAACCACCATACACCATGATGTGAACACACGATGGTTATTATACAACTTGTTTTTCTACCCCTAATTCAGCTGAGTCTCCTTCCCATAGTCCTTTTCCACTTAGCCAAAGTAACTGGCCTGAGCCATGATTTTACAAGGCCTTCCTTTTGTAAAGCTTTACTTATTGCTAACAACAGTGAACATAGCAGAACATAATAATTTCATTGCCTAATGTAATAATTTCATTGCCTAGTCCTCAATTCCCAGTTTGAATGCATTACTGAATATTTCCCAAAACAAGGACCTTACAGACAACTTCATGAAGTGCCTGGTGTCTACTGAAGTAAAAGCTATATATTGACAAAATAGGCACATAGCATCTACTTCTCTTCAATCATCACATATTTAGCCTGTTCCTGTAACCTAGCTACTTTTCCAGGTTTTTTTATTATGCACAGACAAGTAATTAAGACAGATATTCCAAATTCTCATTCTGGGAACAACCCCTATCAGCAGGTTTGAATGCTGGATGGAGAGCTCAAAAGCAGTCTTTGTATTTTAAAGAAAGGTAATAACCCTGTGGTTCTCTGACAAATAGATCTGGATTGTATTTCAATTGTCAGAAGCCAAAGAGTATCCAACTCCTTCACTTCAGTGCTAATAGGGCATGGAAAGCAAAACATGTTTGACTTGCATCAAGCCTTTCAGTGTCTCTGCTTCTTGTAATAAAGAAGTCCTGTGAGATGGTGGCCGGGAAAAAAAAAACCCATCCCACCTCTTTACAGAGTATGAGAGAAGAGTGCTACCTTCCAAGCCTAGTTTTTTTGAACATGTGTGGATTATATTTCCAACATTGTCCCTGGCACATTTCCAGAAGTCTCATATAGGAAAGGTTCTTAATTTTTTTCGTCTTACTTTCCTTTTCCCTTTACTTTCTTCTCATTCCTTCCTCCATTTCCTTCCTTCCCCTCCTCTTCCTTTCTCCTAGGAACTGGTAAAGAAAACAATTTGTGGAAAAACGTCTTTACTCTTATCCTCTAATTGGAAGCAGGATGTTTTGTCGTTTTTCTGTTAAAGAGTGAGGTAGGCAGTGAGGTAACTGTGTGGCACTCATGAGAGCTGCTGTGCTCTCACCTGGCTGATCTGTGTGCAGAGCAGGGCAGAGATTCACCTTTGGGGGAATGAGGTCTGCAGAGACCTGTGTGAGGCCAATGGCACCACAGTCCTCTCCTGCTCCCAGTCCCACCTGCAGTCTCCAGGTTGGCAGGAGGGTGGCTCTGGAGGCCCAGCATTCAGCCCATACAGGGATAAGCAGGAGCTGGCACTGGGTACCATGCCAGCGGTGCTGGAAGGTTTCCTCTTCTGGAAAGAGAGTTTTTACAAGAGTGTGTTGTCATAGGACAAGGGGCAATGGTTTTAAATTGAGAGAAGGTGGGTTTAGATTCGACATTAGGAAGAAATTCTGCACTATGAGACTGGTGAGGCACTGGAACAGGTTGCCCAGAGAAGTTGTGGCTGTCCCCTCTTTGGAGGTGTTCAAGGCCAGGTTGGATGGGGCCTTGAGCAACCTGAGGTAGTGGAAGATGTCCCTGCCCATGGCAGGGGGCTGGAACGAGATGCCCTTTAAGGTCGTTTCCAACTGAAGCCATTCTATAATTTTATGATTCTATGATTTGATGTGTTGCAAGCTTTGTACCTGCTTATGAAATCCCTGACACGCCTTCAGCAAACCTGGCATTCCTGAGGCAGACCTAGAGCACAGCACCAAGTATTGGGTCTGCAAAGGAGGCATGATTCCTGCCCACAAGAAATTTAATGTTATGTGTCTGTTTACTGCCATGCCTGGGCTTCTTGCAGGCCTCCAGAGACCCTGGAAAAATGTTGTGGACTGAGCAACAGTAGCTAAAGCTCCCTAAGCCGCCTTAGCAAATCTGTGGTTTTTGAACTATGTAAGTAGACCCATGGAGAAGGGGATTGTCCTATTGATGCTTTGCTAGGAAAAAAAAGGAGAACCGATGTCCCAGTAAAGCTGAAGAGCCTTGGTATTTCTAAGAGAAATGAATGAACAACAGTCCAGCGTGGGATGGGTTGTGAAGATATTGGCTGGGCATCCCGGGTGAGTGGATGTGGTGGGAAGCACAGGTGGGGGAGCTGGAATCCGACCCCGTGCACGGCACTTTTAGGGGTTCAGGGCAGCTCTCCTCGTGCTCTGCGACATCTCCGATCTGGAGGACCGTCCCAGGAGGAGGGAAGGCCCACGCCCATCTGCCGCTCACGCCCATCTGCCGCTGTTGCTCTCCCAGCTCTCCTGTACCTTCACTGGGGCGTGACTCCGACGACTCCCCATCGCCACGACCCCTCAGAGGCTCTCCCGTGGGGGAAGAGATGGGGGAAGGAGGGAAGTCTCCGGAGATGCCCCGATATCGACCTGCCAGGCGGACGGCAAGCCCCGGTGGTGCGGCGGAGCGCACCTGTGGGCGATGTCTGCACCGCATCCCCTCATCTCCGCGTCCCGGGCCGCTCCGCTCCCGCCGCTGCCAGGGCGCGCCCGCGGCGCCGGTGCCGGCAGCGGGGCGGTGCCGGGGCGGGCGGCCGCCAATGGTGCGGCGGGGGCGGTGCGGGCGGTGCAGGAACACCCGGGAGGTGACAGCGACGCGCCGCCCTCCCGGCGGCGAGCGGGCGCCGGCGAACATGGCAGAGGAGCGGCGCTGAGCCCGCGCCGCCGCCCGGGGAAGGGCGGTCGCCCCAGCGCGCCCCGCGTCCGCCGAAGGGAGCGCAGCGCCGGCGCCGCCGCGGGGCTCTGTGTGATGGTGGGGGCATGGCGGGGCAGCCGGCGGCCGCGGCGCTGCTGAGGCGGGGGGCGGCTGGTCCCGGCCCCGGCGGCGGCAGCAGCAGCAGCAGCAGCAGCGGTATCGAGCGGGGGCTGCCTCCCTCTCCCCGCTGAGACAAGGAGGGAGCGCCTCGCCTCGCCGTGCCAGCCACCTCGCCGCCGCCATGCTGCCCGGGGTGGGGGTGTTCGGCACCGGGCTGACGGCGCGGGTGATCGTGCCGCTGCTGAAGGCGGAGGGCTTCGTCGTGAAGGCGCTGTGGGGCCGCACGCCCGAGGAGGCGGAGGAGCTGGCCAAGGAGATGAGCGTCCCCTTCTACACCAGCCGCATCGACGAGGTGCTGCTGCACCAGGACGTCGACCTGGTCTGCGTCAACCTGCCGCCGCCGCTCACCCGGCAGGTCGCCGTCAAGACTCTGGGTGAGTGCGGGCGGCCGGGGGGCGACCCCGCCTCGGGCTCGGGATTCGCGCTCGCCTCGGGCTGAATGGAATTGAACCTCCTCCCTCAGCGCGGAGTTTTCCCTTCGCTTTACTCTTCATGCCCTGTGTCTCCGGAGAGGGGTTGGCCGAGCCGCGGGCGCAGGCCGAGGACCGGCGGGGCGCTGGGGATGGCGCTGCGGCAGTCCGGTGTGACATCCCGTATCCCGCTCCTCGCCGGCGAGGTCCCTCGGCCCCGGGGACCCGCCCCTCCGCGATGCTCGGGCAAGCCTATGCAGAGCCGGGCCTGACACCCGAGGGTGCGGGAGGAGGGAGCAGGTGTCACCCGTGTTGTGGTAAAAAGGAGAAAGTGGCGGTAAAAGGGAGGAAATGACCATCCCGCCCGCCGGTTCCCATCCGCGCCTGGCCCGGGAGCGGGGATCCGGGATCCGAGCATCGCGGCCGCGCTGCTTGTGGGGCGCGGGTGTCCGCGCTGCCCCCGGACCCAGCTGCGAGCCAGAGAGGGAGGCAGGAAGCGATGACAGCAGAGGAAACGCTTAGCGAAGCTCACGTACAAAGGGAAGGAGGGACTGAAAAAGTAGGCATGCACTGTGGTGAGCTGCTCTGGTTTTCAGGCGTGCGAAAGCGGGCCGCATCTCGCTTTCTCCTGTGTGAGCGCAAGTCTGGGCTTTACTCTGCCAGCTTCGGGATCTCTAGTCCTCGGACACTGGCTTTCCCAGGGATTTAAGTGGAAGCACCCTCTGCAGTAAAGGAATTCTAATTTGTCCCCTCAAATATACGTGACAAAAGGTGAAAATGAGAGGAAAAAGCTGAGGTGTTGTTACAGAGAGCATGGAGGTTTATGAGCCAGGGTGATTGCTATTTGCTCTCAGCCTCATAAATGTGTGTGGTGTGTCGTAGTGTTAAATTGCTACTAGCATACTCATTAGAATTAGTCACCATTCAAATGCTGCTAATATTGCAGCCAGCTAGTGTTTTGAATATTTGAAATTATGCAATTAAGGAAATTAAATCAGTACCTAAAGAAAAAATCCTTCCTCAAGTACAGTGTAGGCATTTGTCTGGAATCTTTGCTCAGTGTTACTTTCTGTACTTGGAAATGCTTGTTCTTTGAGTCAGAACATTTAGTTTTCTTTTATAATATTCTTGACTTTTTCCTGAAGATGCTACACTTGCACCAGAAGCCTGACTTGCTTGCCAGAGTGATATGTGAATGAATTTGCAGTGTAGAAGTACATATCACACAAAACACATATAAAGGACAGTATAAGGTAACAAAGTTCCACGTTTGACACACAATAATTTGGAGACAGTTGTGTCAGTTTTCCTGTGACACACTCTTCCTGCAGGTGTTGCTCATGGAAGTGTCCAGGCTTGCCTTGTGCTCTTAGAGATAGAGTCCCATGAGATTTCAGGCAGACACAAGGCATCTGTTAGAAGAACAACATTTTTGAAATAATCAAGAAACACAATTGATGTGCTTTCTCTCAGAGGGCCAGACACATACCTAGCATAATAAAGGAATAATGTTTTGTCCTTCTCTGAATATTTCCAGATTAAGGAAGAAAAAGAAGTCTGTTCTCAAGCATGAGTTGAATTTATGAATGATTCTATGAGTTGATGTAGCTGAGATGTTAATGGTACCTTGCTGATGCAATCTGCTAGCAACAGACTAGAGCAGGAAAAAAAGGTGTTTTCCCCCTTTTTATTAGAACATCGCCATTCTTGGTTCCCTTTCACCTCTAGTTAAAAGGTTTCCTCCCTTTCCCCAGCAGATGTTATTTGTATATTGTAGAGATAACAAAGTTTGTGTAAAAATGATCATTAAACAGGAACTAAACATGTTACAAGATGATAATGTGCAACATCTGATAATTTTTTAAATAGCGTTTTACTTAAAAGATTGTTACAGAAATATGTCTTGGACTACGAGTAACTCCTCTCACAGTTATCTCAGAGGTAAATTTTCTTTTTTTTTTTTTTTTTTTTTTTTTTTTTTTTTTTTTTTTTTTTAATACAGACATTGGGTCTAGAACAATGAAAGTTCTTGCATGGTCTTGTAGGTGCAAACAGGGAGCCAGAGCAGCAGTTCCCAAACTGCTGAGAGGAACATCTCTCTGCTGGCAGCTCTGTCTCCTGGTCCTGCTTGCCCTTCACGGCTTGGGAGCTGCTGTGCCCTGGAGTGATTATTTTGCTTTAATCAATGGATTTTCTGGTTTGTGGGAGAGAGTGCAATTAAGTGGGAGGTTCAGAAGTCTCTGGTAAACAGGGGTAATGTTGTATAGGCTGAGGAAAGCAAACAATAGAAAAACATTCCTTACTCTTGAAATTACACACAAAAAATATTATGTAGCAGCTAGCGATAGGACATAGATGGGGATTCCAGAGCTTTGCAGATGTACATTTCAGGAGGTCTGAACATGATGCCCTGCATTGCAGTAGAAGAGGTTGAGAAGTCATGAGTTGCTTTTTAATAACATGTTTAATAACATGTTTAATTTAATAACTGGCTTCTCTATTACAGAATGAATGTCTGGCCTGGGAAGAGACAGGGACCAACTTTTCTTTGCTACCCGTGTTTTATTTTAAATGGTCTTATTTCCCAAAGCTATGTTCTCATTTGGTGAAGCTTCATTATTAAAAAGTGAAAGCGCAAGGAAGCAGTTGGTGGTGTTTCCATCACCCACCTAGAGCTGGGTTTACCTTGTGAATTTGCAGCACATTAAGTCCTGTCTGGCCTATTCCTGATGCAGACTCCAGAGGTGAAGGTGGGGTGAAACAGGTGTCCCCACAGCTGTGTTTAACTCTGGCCACTCGGCAGGAAGGACTCAGTAGTTTTGTTTTCACTGATGCACCTGACATGGAGATGTGGTGCTGCTTGAAATGTGGTTTTGGCACAGTGGCCCATCAACTTCTGTTCAAACAGAAATGTATGAATACATGCCCCACCTGAGGAAGTCCCCAAAAGGTGGCTTTCTGGCAGCTGTTGAGGGGAGAAAATGGGAGAAACAAAGCTTCAAACTTGCCCTGTTAGCTTTTCCTCTAAACCTCTGCTGCCCATCTCTATTAGAAACAGGCTCCTGAGCTGCATCTGACTCTATGGTAGTTTTTTTTTAGGAGTAGGATCAATGTTGGGCAAGTCTTTGGAACCAGCTGAGAAATCAAGAGAGAATTGGAAACCAGGCTGGCTTGAACAGTGACCAAAAGCACAAATAAAACCCATGATGTTTTATGTGAAATACGCTGATGACCTCTGTCACTTCTGGATAAAAGGAATCAAATTCCTTGTTTGCTTTTACAAAATGGGCCTGATTGACCTTTTCCCTTTCTTACGCCTGGTCTGTCCTGTTCACTTAGGAGCTCTTTTTATTATTGCTTTATATTTGCTCCCTGGAGCATAATACAAAACTGATGTCCTTACTGACTTGCTGCTTGGTGGTGAGGAAAGATCAGTGGGTGAATATCAAGGTAAGCATTGAGAATAATGCTGCTGTTGAATAGGGATGGTTTCTCTTTTCACTGAACTGGAACATTCAGTGTGTTTGCTAGAAGTTGTCCTCTTTTCCCCTCCCTTCAGTAGAAGTCATATCCCAAGCCTGATCAGGCAGGGGAGCTGTGTTTGCATAGAGGAATGAAATGTGTCACCTATTGAATGCCTATTTGTGCCCAGCATCAGAAGAGCTACTAGTACAGACAGATATGAGCCTCCACCTAGTTCAAAACTGTCAGCACATGACTTTTCCCAGTGTAATTCCTCCTCAATCAATTAGATATGACATTCTTCAGATCCTGACTGAAACACTTGCTTTGTGAGACTGAGTAGCTGCCACATCAGGTGATTTACTGTATGTGGTTCTGAGAAGATCTTGGTGGCATTTCATCTTGAAGGCACAGATGTTTCCATGTGCCTGGTCCTCTTGGTGTTTCCCTCAAGTCAGCTTGGATAAAGAGAACTTATTCCTGAGCTCCACATGCAGTGTTTCTGCGGAGCAAATGTTTTGCTTTTGAGAAGACTCAAGTACCAGATGTTTAGCATATCTCTAGAGATGTTATCCTTGATTCTATTTGCAGTTGTTTTGCTTACTCTTTCATCCCAAGTTAAGGACAGGAACACTGAGCTGTGTGTTGAGTATTTACTGCGTGTGTTTGCAGCCATGTCTATGTAGTATTAGTTTTTAAAATGTTTGTGTTGTAGTAGTTCATGGTAGGAGTCCATTCTGCCTAGGGACTACACAGAGTATGATTTTCCCAGCCCTCCAGAAGCTGCTCCTCTTAAGGAGCACTTAAAGTTTTTTGCTGATTGGTAGCTCTTCTATACTTGATCGTGGTCATGAGGGAGCATCTTTATTTAGAGAGGAACATAAATAGTACTGCTCAGATCCTTACCTTCCCACCCCTTCACAGGAAGCACAGGCGCTACACAGGCGTGCTGTATAGGCCTGCTGTCCAAAATGTGTGTGTGAGAACTCCTTGTTAAAGCACTGACAATATTATTACTGCATCTATCTCTGAGGTATCAAGCTGCAGTGAAGTAATTTACAGATCTGATGCAATCTCTAATGAATTTCTACACTCCTCTGTACCCATGCAAATCAGGCAGAAGTTAGGGTTGTAGCAGTGGATAAACTCAGTCCAGAGTTTATAAAGCATTAGGATTCCTGAGGAAGAGATGCCCTATTAAGGGAAAACATTATCATGACTATTTATTATTAATAGCAATGTAATTTCTGTCCTGTAATATTGAGTTTAAATTTGACCTAACAGCAGTGACTTTCAGCAGAACAGCTCCTTTCAGCTCCTGTGCTTGGAAGGCAGATGACTTTGCGGCATATTAAATGTGAATTATGGTCATCTTAGTGCGAAAGAAGTCAGATGAAGTGCTGTCTATCTTTAATCAGCAGAGCTGGCAAAGGCTGTGATGCCTTTTTCTTACATTTATTGTAAAGGCAGTCCAAAGACCCTGCTGGCCGTCGGCTGGATGT